CCTTTCGGGAATCCGAGCTGCCCTCTTCCCCCTGGCGCTTTTCTGCCAACAGCAGGTGCCTGGCAGCTGCCTGAGAATGGCAGCCCCATGAGCTGGCATAGGAGGAAATGCTCGCGGGCAGGGGCATCACACGTGCTGGCCCAGGAACCCGAGCACCCCGCCCTTCTGCAGACTGGACTGCGGCCAGCAGAGACAGGCCCCAGACTTTCTGAGAGCCCCCAGACAGAGCTCAGCAGAGCCAACCTTTGAGGGTCACTCCAGGCCCCCATTCCACCCTGCCTCCATGCATCTGTCTCTGGTATTGAGTGTCCCAACCCAGGCAATTGATCCTAACCCTGACCCTAACCTAACACAACCCTAGTCTAAACCCAACCATAGCCCTAATCTCAACCATAATCCTAGCCTAACCCCAACCCTAACCCTAACCCTGAGCCTGACCTTACCATAACCCCAACCCTAACCCTAACCCGGACCCTAACCCCAGCCCTAATCGTATCCTTCCCACAACCCCAACCTTATTCCTGAGCCTAACCCTATCCTAACCCCAACCCTAACCCTGACCCTAGTCCCGACCCTAACCCCAGCCTAATCCCAACCCTAACCCTAATCCTGACCCTAACCCTAGCCTAACCCCAACCCTAAACCTATCCTAACCCCAACCCTAACCCTAGCCTAACCCCAACCCTAACCCTAACCCTGACCCTAACCCTGTTCTAACTCCAAGCCTAATCCCAACCCTAACCCTTTTCTAACCCTAAACCCAACACTAATTCTAAACCCGAACCTAACCCTGACCCTAACCATATCCTAACCTTGACTCTAACCTTAACCTTAACCCTAACCCTAACCTAACCCTGACCCTAACCCTAACCCAAACCCTAACCCTATCCTAACCCCGATCCTCTCTTAATCATATCCAAACCCTGATCCTATCCTAACCTTGTCCCCGACACTGATCCTGACCCCAGACCCTAACCCTGTCCCTGATCCTAACCTTACCCTAACCCTGACCCTGACCTTGGGCACTTACCCTGTCTCTATTACTTTAGGAACCTGCAGACGCACGTGTCTATGCAGGTGAGGGACTCTGGCCCCTTCGTGGAAGGGGCAGCCAGTTTGGGGGACAGACGGGTGTGGAAGAAAGTGAGGGGCAAGGATTCTGCAGGTTCAACCCCTAGGTGGGGCCCTGGGCTCTTCTGCAGACATCCTGCACCTGCTCGTGTGCCAGAAAGGGGGTGGGGGCTAGAGATGGGGGTGCAGGAGGCCCAGCCTTCCCAGCATGGCCACACAGCCACAAGCTTGAGGGCTGGAGGCGCAGGGGTTTGGAAGCTGCCCCAGAAGCGGGGTGGGCGACAGTCCCCAGCCCTGTGGTTTCCCAGCCTGTGACACCCGGGTCCTCTGACGTCTCCTCCTCACTCCGGTCGCTGTCATCCTTCCTCACCCCTCCCTGTCCCGTGGCTGTCAGGGCTGGCAGAGGAGTCGCTGCTGGCACCAGGGCAGGGAGCTACCCGTGGTCCCGGGGTGAGAGCTGACGTCTGTCCAGGAGCTTCTCTTTCGCTGCCAAGGTCTGAGTTCTCTGGGCTGCATGCCTTCCCTCTGACACAGAGCCGACTGGCCCGGCCTCGCCCGGCGCCCCGGCGACAGCTGCAGCTCCGCTCTGCCCCCTCCTCAAGGCCTTCCTCAGCCTCAAGAGCCTCCAAAATGCCCCGTCTCAAGTCTCAAGACCAGCGTGGATGCCCACGTGCTGGCCCTGGCCCAGGAAGTGACTTCCGTGCCCGAGTTTGTGCCGGAGTGTGCCTGGTGTCATGCAACACTCAGGTCTGCATGCAGCTGTCCAGCGTGTCCCTGGGTTTCTAGCAAGGATCATCTGCCATTATTATCCAGGGTCCCCATCACCACTTTCTCAAATTTTATATGTATCTGAAAACTTTTAGGTTTTTTTTTGGGGGGGAGGGGAGGCCACCCCAGCAGTGCTCAAAGGTTACTCCTGGCTCAGTACTCAGGAATTCCTCCTGGTGGACTCAGGACCCTAAGGAATGCCGGGAATTGAACCTGGGTTGATCATGTACAAGACAATTGCCCTACCCACTGTATTATGGTTCTGGCCCCTGAAAACTTTCTATCTCTTTCTCACTAAGCAGGAAATGTTACTTGAAATTCTGGTAGCTATTTCACAGGCAGTACCTGGCCTTGTCTCTTGGTCGTGGGCTGCCCTGTGACAAGCCCGGTTGGTAAATTCCTTCGCTTGTGTAGCAGTTACGTACGCAAGGGGGTGAGTAGAGAGATAGCTCGGAGAGGGGGTACAGGTTTTGCATGTTCAAGGACCGGAGTTCAATCAATCCCCTGCATGGTGTCTCCCTCAGTCCCAGGGGCTGTCTGCATCCTGAAAGTTCACATCGAGGAGGCAATGACCTTGGATTCAATCTGCAGTCTGGTTGGGTTTATGCGAGGTTAGAGGAAGGGGAGCTGGGGGCGCTATAACACTCCTCCTGGGCCAGCACACACTTCGGTCATTTTCCTGGGAAGGTGACCAGAAGTGCTCAAGGTCTTCCGGGTCTTCCTACTGCTCCCTGCTCCCCCTTGACCCCCTCCATAATGCCACCAGTGTTCTGGGTGCTCAGGACCCCAAGCCCAGCCTTCGGGCCTCTACCACCTTCCTAGCAATCAGGTCCCCTCCTGTCTCTACACACACACACACACACACACACACACACACACACACACACACACACACGGAGGAGCCCAGAGCAGGCCATGGATGCCATTTATTGGTTTGTTTGAAAAATATGTCTCTTCTTGATACACGAAGTTGGGTGAGAAGCGCTCGATTAGTTCAGACATCTGGCACTTGACGCTCGTCCTTCCCTCCCTCCCTCCTCCTCCTCTCCCACCCAGTGCTCCTGTCCTGCTGGTCGTCATGCAGTTCTGGAAACAATGAAATGAGAGCCACGCTAAAAGCGAAGGAGTGGGGCCCGCTCGTCCCGGCCCTTGGCCCTGTGGTCAGCAGCCCCGGACACCCACTCGTGGGGACGCCAGGGTCACTGCCCTGCCCTGCCTTCCAGTGTATCTGCCGGGGGGTGGGGGGTGAGGGGGGTGCGGGGGGGGTGGGGAGGGCCACAGCCTCACCCGGCCTGGAGAACAAAGCACAGACATCTCCAAAAAATTTGATTTCTACCCCAAGGCTCGTGGGCACACAGAAACCAAGGGGTCACTGGAAAAGAAAAAGCCGTTGGTTGGGGTGGACAGGGTGGGGGCCACGGGGGCCACCCAGGGGACTCGGGGTGATGAGAAGGAACATAATACTTGACTTGTCCGCGATGGTCCCCCAGCACTCTGTGGGCTCACGAATGTCCAGCCCCCAGCGAGGTAGGTGAGGAGCAGCAGTGTCCGGCCTTCCAGGGTGCCCAGGGGGGGCCCGTGAGAGCTGGATCTGGGTGGCAGAGACCCCCGGGGAGGGGGGCTCACACCAGCCAACGAAGTCCCTCTCTGGGGGGGGGTACAGTTCTCTAGAAGATTTGCATATGCAAAACAGGATTGTCAGCAGCTGAAGAGACCCTGGGGGTGGGGATGTCACTGGACTAGAAAAAAAGGATTTTTTTTTCCCTGAAAAGGCCTTTCTCACAAGACCTGTGAAACAGCCTGGATCCTGTCCCAGGAAGTCCCGCGTTGAAAGGGGGGGGGGGGCACCAGGAGCCCAGGTTAAGCTAGATGGGGCTGATCAGGGCCACCCTGTTCCCTTCCCGAGGGGACCATATGCCTTTCGGCCTGACCCTCTGAAGCCCTTCCCCTGTCTGGGACACCCAAGTTGTCCTCCTCACTCCTGAGCCCTGGCATCAGGGGTGCCCATGGGAGCCCTTCTCCATAGGCTCTGAGGCAGAGATGTTCAGGAAGAGCCCTGGAGGTGACCACAGACTTTCTTTCAAACTGCCATGGCCAAATCCTGTGACGCTCCTTCCCCACAACCCCCTGCCCATGGGCAGGGCCTGCCAGGTTCCTCAGACAAGGACAGTGGAGCAGGTTGTTGTTGGGGGTGGGGACGCTGGTCCCCTCGGGCCCTTCTCTCAGGTTCAAGGTTGATACTCCTCCAGAAGGTGATGCAGTTCAGGGCAAAAAAGGTGCCAGCAGCCCCCACCCGCATCCCCAGGCCACTCTCGGAAGTGTTTCCAACTCATCTTGCAGAACTGAGCCTAGTTTGGCCTCCACAAAGAACACAGGGATAAACCAGACCTTGGGGACCAGGGGAGGTCAGAGAGAGACAGAGAAAGACAAGAGCCCCACCGCAGGGGGGAGCGGGCCGGCAGTGAAATGCCACACACCACCCCGAGCGGCCTAGGCCTCACGTGGCCATGGTGAGTGTGAAGTGTGTGTGCACGCATGTGTGCGAGGGAGAGGCTCATGCCCCCCCCCACCCCCAAGGCAGACAGGGGACCGCGCTCTGCCCTGGGTCCGGATGGACAGATGGGTTGTCGGTCTGCGGGAGCCACACTGGATTTCCCTTTGGTGGCCAGAGCTCCAGCAGCTCCCCCCAGACGCACGCTCCGAGCGAAGGAAGCAAAGGCGGCCCGTGGATTCCTGCAGGCGTGTCCGTGGAAAAACGTCTGTTCTTTGCTCAAGTAAAAAAATATCAAATATAATGCATTTAAGAAAGCCCGTTCACAACACAGACGGTTTTAAGGTTCCTGCCTCCATCTCGGGGACGGAAGAGCTGGTCAAGACCAGGCCACGGAACGTGAGGGGCCTCAAGGACAGGTTCCCCGGAACTGCTTCCAGCGGCCAACTGGGAGGTGGCGGGGGGGGGGGGGGGGGGGAGGTTACAGAGCTCGGTCTTGTTGATTTCCCGGGGGCTGAGGCCCCCGTCCCGGTCCCAGAGCTGGAGGCAGGGCAGGACCCCCCACCACACACACACACCGAAGATGTGGGTAAGGGGGTCCCCTCTCCGGGTTGGCTAGCACACCACAAGCTGCCTTTCATTGAGATGTCTCGGGAGGGAGGTGGGGGGCGCACAGATCACACGATAGACTCGCGGTCCCTGTCTGGGGATGTGGGGAAATCGGCCAGGTCCTCGCTGCGGCTGTAGTCTGACACCCGCACGGGCAGGTTGTCACTGGTGGCCCTGGTGACGCTGTCGTAGGACGGTGGGAAGGACGTGGAGGAGATGGAGGAGCTGGAGGGGGGGCCCCGGCGCTGGGAGTAGTTCTCGTTCATCATGTAGGCAATGAGCCCCCCTCGCTCGGGGGCGTCGTCGTCTGAGAGGCCGCTGCTGCCTGTCTGCTGGCGGTAGAGGAAGGACGCGTGCTTGACGGAGCGCTGGAGCAGGTGGCGGCGGAAGGCCCTCTGGATGATCGTGGCGGACACCTCCTCGTGCTTCCGCCGCAGCGTGGTGGTGATGGGCTCGTAGGAGATCTTGGACGGGTTGGCCGCCATGAACTTCTCCTCCATCTGGATCTTGAGGGCGTCCATCTCGCCCGACTCGCCCAGCACCCGCTTGGTGAAGGCGAAGAGAATGTCCATGCAGTGGATGCGGTCCCCGCTCACCATGGGCAGGTCCATGTTGATGAGGCTGATCTGGTTGGGCTTGGCGATGCGCAGTGGCTCTGAGAGGGCGTCGGCGAAGTCGGAGAGGGCGGCATACTCGATGAACTGGGTGGCCTCGGGGTCGAACTTCTCCCAGGTCTCGTAGAACATGTCGAAGTCGTCCTCGCTCAGGGGCTCCGTGCTCTCCTCCGTGGCCACGCTGAAGTTCTCCAGGATGATGGCGATGTACATGTTGACCACAATGAGGAAGGAGATGATGATGTAGGTGGTGAAGAAGAGGATGCCCACAGCCGGGCTGCCGCAGTTCCCCCGGGAGCCGTTGCTGTTGAGCAGGTTGGGGTCGCAGGACGGGGGCCCCGTGTTGAGGATGGGGCTCAGGAGCCCGTCCCAACCCGCCGACGTGGTGATCTGGAAGAGGCACAGCATGCTGTTGGCGAAGGTCTGGAAGTTGAACATGTCGTCGATGCCTGCCTCCCACTTGACGTAGGCGAAGTTGGCCATACCGAAGATGGAGTAGATGAACATGACGAGGAAGAGCAGCAGCCCAATGTTGAAGAGGGCGGGCAGGGACATCATGAGGGCGAAGAGCAGCGTGCGGATGCCCTTGGCCCCGCGGATCAGCCTGAGGATGCGGCCGATGCGGGCCAGGCGGATGACGCGGAAGAGGGTGGGCGAGAAGAAGTACTTCTGGATGATGTCCGAGAGCACGGTACCTGCAGGACACAACGGGGGACAAGGGACTGTGGTGGCGCCATCCGGGGAGGGGGCCCTGCACTAGCCAGGACCCAGAGGGCTGAAGGCCGGCCCCCCGGGGTCATGCAAGGGGGCTCTCCATCTTGGCTCTCCCATCAGAAGCTGGTGCATTCTTGGTCAACCCCTCCTCTGCCCCCTCAGTCTTCCATCAGCCCCTTTTCTGGACGGTGGGTTCTCTGGACTGACAAGCCACACACAGCATCTTGGGGGGGTCCCCAGCTGGGAGCAGGACTCAGCCTTGGAGCCCCTCACTCCTCAAGGAATGTGCCAGGGCCTTGCAGCCTGGAACTCCAGGCGCTTCCCAGAACTGCAGCTGCAGTCACCCAGACGATTCAAGCGGGGGTAGGAGTGGGGGCCAAGCCCCAAAACCAGCGCTGTCCTGACGCCGTGCCTGCCTTGCAAAGATGGTTCCCATCAGCCTCTCAGCTCTGCCTGCTCCCAGCTCCCAGACCCCTCTGACTCCAGACTTTATTTATTTACTTATTTTGCTTTTTGGGTCATACCTGGTAATGCACATGGGTTACTCCTGGCTCTGCACTCAGAGGCCAACCTCTCCTCTGCCCCCTCAGTCTTCCATCAGCCTCTGGGTCCTGGCTAGTGCAGGGCCCCCTCCCCAGATGGCACCATCACGATGCACAGGGGTTACTCCTGGCAGTGCTCGGGGGACCACATGGGGTATGGGAATCGAACCCGGGTTGGCCGCGTGCAAGGCAAATGGCCCTACCCGCCGTGCTATCACTCCAGCCCCCGACTCCAGACTTTAAAACTGGGTCTTGGATTTAGAAAGAGCAGGAATATGGGCGAAAGGCCAGAGTGAAATGGGCGCAGTGACTCTCCCGGACTCTCCCAGGGTGACGCTGTCACGGGCTGACGTGCGTCTTGCGTTGACCTCAGTAGGGCCCTGGGTGGGTCATTTGAAATCCACCTGGCCTCGCCCCGCTTGTCACTCTCGGTGGCTGCTGAGAAAATTGCCCACCATTTCCAGAAGAGGAAACTGAGACATCAGGCAACAGGGCCAAGCTGGCAGCGAGTCAGTGAGAAGCTGGGGCTGGACTCCAACTCTGGGCTCCAGGCTGCCTGCTGACCAGTCATCCCTGCATGTGTCCCAGACACAGGCTGCACCTCTGAGGCCTTTGGGATTGTCCCTCAGTGGCCCTGACCCCACTATTGGCAGCCTGCATCCCCCGAAGCTTCTTCTCAGGCCCTCAAGGCCTGCTCTCACCTCACCCTGCCTGGACCACCCAAAGCATTTCCTTCCAGACCCCACTTCCTGCTTTTCCCCACTGCCCTCATTTCGGCTCTAGCAGCTCTGTCTTGCCCCTGAGTCTTTCAGAGGGAGGGTTACTACAGAGAATGGCAGTTACCCCCAGGTAGAGACCAGGGAGTGGGCAAGGCTGGGAGTTTGGCACAAGTGACAAGAACATGGCAAGCTGCATTTCATCCAAATGAAAAAACTGGTGTTTCAGAAACAGCCACCAAACAAAGTAAAAACGACAGGGCCCTGAGTGAAAGCACAGTGGGTAGGACGCTTGCCTTGCATGTGGCCAACCTGGCTCCCATCCTTGGCAGATTTTCAGGATAGTCCCCCAGAGGCCCACCAGAAGTGATGCCTAATCACAAATCCAGGAGTAAGCCCTGAGCACTGAGCACCACCAATTGTGACCCCCCACCCCAGAAAACAACCAATCAAACAACAACAACAACAAAAATAGAAAGGCAAAAGACAACCCATGGAATGGGAGAGTGTCTGAGATATCTGTGAAATGCCTTAACAGGCTAAGGGGATGGTACCCCAAATCCACTAAGAATCCTCAGGATAGGAACACTGTTCCAGACATATGCTGCATCTCCAGACCACACGCCCTGCATGTGTGAGGGTCTGAGTTCTCTCTGTGGCCTCTGATCACTGCCAAGGTGTTCCCTGCATCCCCTGCGTTGCCACCGCAAAGGAACCAAAGCACTGTTACTCTTCAACAATGACAGCATAAACAGCATGGGAGGATGTATCCATTGATAACCCGTCAAACAAGGTCTGGACATGAACAGTTAATGCCCAACATTCCTACATATGAAGATGGTAAATGATACTTTCTTCTATACTGTCAAGGCGAAATACAGAAGAACAGATTACATCCAAATAAAATAAAATCTAACTTGAGATCCACAGTCACCAGAAACTTAAAACATTTAAAAAAAATTCTTTGGAATTTTTAGCCACACCCAGTGATGCTCAAGGGTCACTCATAGTTTTGCACTCAGGAATCACTCCTGGCAGGGCTTGGGGACCATATGGGATGCTGGGTGAAAGCTGGGTCAGTCATGTGCAAGGCAAATGCTCTATGGGCTATCTGCTGTACTATTCCTTTAGCCCTCAGAAATTCTTTTTTCTAAAGAGCAATAGAGGGGATGCAGTGATAGTACAGCGGGTAGGGCGTTTACCTTCTAAACGCACGCAGCCGACCCAGGTTCAATTCCCGGCATCCCATATGGTCCCTCGAGCACCACCAGGAGTAATTCCTGAGTGCAGAGCCAGTAGTAACCCCTGTGCATCACCAGGTGTGACACAAAAAGAAAAAAAAAAGAGCAATAGATTTTCAGGCCTTTCTCTTGGTATAGAGGAGGGTTTCCAAAGTGGGCAACAGTGATGCCTCTAAGGAGTTGGAGTGATCCAGGGTCAAGGGGTGGTAATAACCAGGTACATCTGCAATACCACTTCTGGGAATATAGCCCGAGGATGCAAAAATCACAGTATATGTTCATTGCTGCACTGTTCACAATACCCAAAATCTGGTAACAACCCAAGTGCCCTAGAACAGATGACTGGTTAAAGAAACTTTGGTAGATTCAGCCAAAGAGAAGGACAACATGGAGGGCGGGACCCGCAGATCCCGAAGGAAAAAAAAAAAAACAGGTTCCAAAAAGAGCCGAGATCATCGGGAAGCCCCAGATGGGGTAGGTTTCGCATCCCGCCTCCCCCAGATGGAACCCCGGTGACCAGAAGCCTCTACAACCACAGCTCGAGTATGCAGGAACTAGGACTTTTCCTCAAAACCGCGCGGCCGCGCAAGCGGCCGCGCAACATCTCCTTACATACAAAGTGATCCATATATACAAAGTAAACCACCCAACGTTTCTCTCTGAAAATCATAGTTAAGTTTGGAGCACGGCCACAGCCCCAGAAACACAAGGACTTAATGCATAACCCAGCAGCTTGGAGCAGAAAAGTGAATGGGCTATGCATTAATCCAGGCCATCATGACTGTCCAGAGGGGAAAGGGTGTTGCCCCATTCGCCCTCTCCTCTCTGGAAAGAAAGATGGCGGCCACATGGGAGCCTTGTGGACAGCAGGCATGAGCTGGGGGAGTGGGGGCGACTAAAACCTCATGGGAAGGGGGGCCTTCCGGTCCGTCCTTCACACCCTACCGAGGTCACCAGTTGCCCCCCACGAGCGGCTCTCCAGCACGGCCACAGCCCCAGAAGCACAAGGACTTAATGCAAAACCCAGCAGCTTGGAGCAGAAAAGTGAAAGGACTATGCGTTAATCCAGGCCATCAAGTCTGCCAGAGGGGAAAGGGGGTTGCCCCATTCGCCCTCTCTTCTCTGGAAAGAAGGATGGCAGCCGCATGGGAGCCTTGTGGACAGCAGGTATGAACCGGGGGTGTGGGGGCGACTAAAACCTCATGGGAAGGGGGGCGTTCCGGTCCGTCCTTCACACCCTACCGAGGTCACCAGTTGCCCCCCGCGAGCGGTTCTCCAGCACGGCCACAGCCCCAGAAGCACAAGGACTTAATGCAGAACCCAGCAGCTTGGAGCAGAAAAGTGAAAGGACTATGCGTTAATCCAGGCCATCATGGCTGCCCGGAGGGGAAAGGGTGTTGGTCCCTTCCACCCTCCTCCCTCTGGAAAGAAAGATGGCGGCCACATGGGAGCCTTGTGGACAGCAGGTATGAGCCGGGGCTGTGGGGGCAACTAAAACCTCATGGGAAGGGGGGCGTTCCGGTCCGTCCTTCACGCCCTACCAAGGTCACCAGTTGCCCCCCAAGAGCGGTTCTCCAGCACGGCCACAGCCCCAGAAGCACAAGGACTTAATGCAGAACCCGGCAGCTTGGAGCAGAAAAGTGAACGGACTATGCATTAATCCAGGCCATCAAGTCTGTCGGAGGGGAAAGGGTTGCCCCATTCGCCCTCTCTTCTCTGGAAAGAAAGATGGCGGCTGCATGGGAGCCTTGTGGACAGCAGGTATGAGCCGGGGGAGTGAGGGCGACTAAAACCTCATGGGAAGGGGGACGTTCCGGTCCGTCCTTCACGTCCTACTGAGGTCACCAGTTGCCCCCCGCGAACGGCACTCCAGCACGGCCACGGCCCCAGAAACACAAGGACTTAATGCAGAACCCGACAGCTTGGAGCAGAAAAGTGAACGGACTATGCGTTGATCCAGGCCATCAGGTCTGTCCGGAGGGGAAAGGGTGTTGCCCCAGTCGCCCTCTCCTCTCTGGAAAGAAAGATGGCGGCCACATGGGAGCCTTGTGGACAGCAGGCATGAGCCGGGGGAGAGGGGGCGACTAAAACCTCATGGGAAGGGGGACGTTCCGGTCCGTCCTTCACGTCCTACTGAGGTCACCAGTTGCCCCCCGCGAGCAGCTCTCCAGCATGGCCACAGCCCCATAAGCACAAGGACTTAATGCAGAACCCGGCAGCTTGGAGCAGAAAAGTGAACGGACTATGCGTTGATCCAGGCCATCATGTCTGCCCAGAGGGGAAAGGGTGTTGGTCCCTTCCGCCCTCCTCCCTCTGGAAAAAAGATGGCGGCCACATGGGAGCCTTGTGGACAGCAGGTATGAGCCGGGGATGTGGGGGCAACTAAAACCTCATGGGAAGGGGGGCATTCCGGTCCGTCCTTCACGCCCTACCAAGGTCACCAGTTGCCCCCCGCGAGCGGCTCTCCCACACGGCCACGGCCCCAGAAGCACAAGGACTTAATGCAGAACCCGGAAGCTTGGAGCAGAAAAGTGAATGGACTATGCGTTAATCCAGGCCATCAGGTCTGTCCAGAGGGGAAAGGGTGTTGCCCCAGTCGCCTTCTCCTCTCTGGAAAGAAAGATGGCAGCCGCATGGGAGCCTTGTGGACAGCAGGTATGAGCTGGGGTAGTGGGGGCGACTAAAACCTCATGGGAAGGGGGGCGTTTCGGTCCGCCCTTCACGCCCTACCGAGGCCACCAGTTGCCCCCCACTAGCGGCTCTCCAGCACGGCCACGTCTCCAGTGCACAGAAACCAATTTCTTAACTATCTGACTTTCAGTAGAAATACTTCCAGGTTCAATAAGTAAAATAGCAGAAATCCAAAACCAACATTTAATTCTTGAACCCAGCTGTAGAAAGCAAATCACTTCACAATGCTTTTTCAGCATGTCTGATTTGGGGGGGGGGGTAAACTCTAAATAATAGTGGTGAATCTTTTATTGAAACAATGAATCTAATCAAAGCAGATAGAGTGTTAACTAGAATTCATCTGCCCCACAGGGACTGGGAGGGGTGGGGGGTGGGGTTTTATTGGGGTTCTTCATGGTAAAAAATAAGTTTTGGTAAAGGGAAATGTGTTTGATATTTGCATGACTGAGACCTAAACCTGAAAGCTTTGTAACCTTTCCCACGGTGATTCAATAAAGAAATAAAAAAAAAAAAAGAAACTTTGGTACATCTACACAATGGAATACTATGTAGCTGTCAGGAGAGATGAAGTCATGAACTTTGCTTATAAGTGGATAGACATGGAGAGTATCATGCTAAGTGAAATGAGTCAGAAAGAGAGGGACAGACATAGAAGGACTACACTCACTTGTGGAGCACAAAACAACATAATGTGAGGCTGACATCTAAGGACAGCAGATACACAGGACAGACAGATTGCTCTATGGCTGGAAGCCTGCCTCATGAGCAACAGGGAGAAGGCAGCTGGAGTAAAGAAGGAATCACTAAGAAAAAGATGGCTGGAGGAATCCGTTGGGATGGGAGATGTGTGGAGAAAGTAGACAAAGGACCAAACATGATGGCATCTCAGGGTCTGTATTGCAAACCATAATACCCAAAAGTAGAGAGAAAATATGGAGAATAATGTCTGCCATGGAGGCAGAGGGAGGGTGGGAAAGGAGGTATATACCAAGGAGACTGTTGGTGGGAAATGCGCACTGGTGGAGGGTGTTTGATCATTGTGTGATTGTAACCCAAACATGAAAGCTTGTAACTATCTCACAGTGATTCAATAAAATTAAAACAAACAAACAATTGCCACCCAATGCCTCTTCTGCAAACCACAGCACCCAAAGGGAGAGAACAGGAGGGAGTGCCCTGCCACAGAGGTAGGGTGGGATGGGGGATGGTGGGGTGGGAGGGATACTGGGATTGGTGGGGGTGGAGAATGGGCACTGGTGGTGGGATGGGTGCTCGATCACAGTTATAACTGAAACCCAAGCACAAAGACTTGTGGGTCTACAGCCGTATCTCATGGTGTTTCACTAATAAATAAATAAATAAATAAATAGACAAATGCCCTACAAAAATTCCTAAAAAATATGAAATAAAACAAACAAACAAACAAAAATAAACAGATACAGTTGGGGGGTGTTTTCTGTCTTAAGGAGAGTCGCTTTCTAGAGTGGGGATGACCTGAGTGAATTTTTTTCTGAAAAGGAGATCATGGGCTCAGTAAACCTGTCAATGTCTGGACTCTAGACCAAGGAAGACAACCAAGAAGCACATGGCGAGATGTTCAGGCGCAGACACTGGCTGACAACAGGCGACCACTTTGCATGTGGAGGGTCTCTGCTCCATCTCAGCCCAGCAGCTTAGTCAGCAGGGACATGCCACTCCAAACCGCAATGAGGCATTTTATGCCCTTTACGGTGGCGACAAGAACCACCACAAGAACCACAAACCAAATGACAGGTGCGGGTAAGGGTACAGGGTAACTGGGACAAGCCGACGCCGGAGTTGGAATGTAAAATGACACAGCTGGCTGCAAGGAGCTTGCCAGGCCCTTTCTGCTTTACCCCGTGATTGCCAGGGGCCGGGGAGATAGGGAAAACAGACACAGGATCTTCTGAGGGGTGGGGACAGAGTGGGGGCACTATTCTAAAATTTAATAGTGGTAGTGGTAAAGGTAGTACAAATCTGTGAATATACTAAAAATGATGGAATTGTACTTGATGGAATAAATCACGTCACTGTCACTGTCACTGTCCTCCCGTTGTTAATTGATTTGCTTGAGCGGGCCCAGTAACACTGTGAGACTTGTTACTGTGTTTGGCATACCGAATACGTCACGGGTAGTTTGCCAGGCTTTGCCGTGTGAGCAAGATACTCTCAGTAGTTTGCTGGGCTCTCCAAAAGGGGCAGAAGAACCGAACTCAAGTTGGCCCGTGTGCAAGGCAAATGCCCTACCTGCTGTGCTATCATTCCAGCCCTTGGAATAAATCATATGCCCTGAAAATTATACTTATATAGAAAAGAAATGGGTCATATTCCGGGATGCACAGGGTTTCCTCCTGGCTCTGCATTCAGGAATTACACCTGGTGGTGCTCAGGGATGCATAAGGGATGCTGCCTCCAGCTGGGCACAGCGGGTAGGGTGTTTGCCTTGCACGCGGCCGACCTGGGTTCGATTCCTTTGTACCTCTCGGAGATCCCAGCAAGCTACCGAGAGTATTCCACCTGCACGGCAGAGCCTGGCAAGCTCCCCATGGTGTATTTGATATGCCAACAACAACAACAAGTCTCATAATGGAAACATTACTGGTGCCCGCTCGAGCAAATCGATGAATAACGGGAGGATAGTGCATAGAGAAGAAATATAATTATATCTCAATCACATACAAACATTTACAGAAGAAATAGAATTCTCAATATAATTGCTATAAAATTTGGAGGCCTGGAGGTCAAATAGACATGGCTGTGTGTGAAGGTCTGGATATACCATTTACCTCCTCCCACCAAAAAAAATAATAAGAAGAAAGGAAGCAAAAGAAAATTTGGATTGAAATCTTCACCTGCAAAGATGATGGTTCTAAGAGGTGAGAACTCTGGGAGGTGCTAAAGTTGGGAGGATGGACCCCCCCCCATGGCAGAAGGGGTTCAACAGAAGAGTTGGAGCGTGTTTTTGTGCCTCTGCTCAGGAGGGTGGCGGAGGGCTCTCAGCATGCTGGCGTGAGAAGCTGTGTGTGCATGGGATTCTATCCCACACACGGCTGGCGGCTGGGCCTCCCTGTCTTGCTGCTTAGGCTGAGGGCATGAGCCTACTTCATGGGGCGGGGATATTAGGAGTTGGGCACATACCCTTGAGTGGCAAGGTTCTAGAATTTTCCATTTCCAGAGATGACTTCAAACGTAGTAGATCCCCGTTTCCTGGAGACACTCACCCTTGGGTGGGTGCTTGTCCGTGCTCCCTACCAGGAAGTAAGTCTGGACTCCATCCCCTCCCTCCACCCATCCCCCATCCGAGACGTGATTCCAAGTGTTTTCTCCCATCCTGAGCTGTTGCTTTCCCTGGCCCTTTCCCAGACTCATTCTTTTTTTTTTCCTTTTTGGGGTCACACCCAGCATTGCACAGGGGTTACTCCTGGCTTACACACTCAGGAATTACTCCTGGCGGTGCTTGGAGGACCACATGGGATGCTGGGAATTGAACCTGGTTCGGCCAGGTGCAAGGCAAATGCCCTATCCGCTGTGCTATCACTCCAGCCTCGCCCAGACTCATCCTTGAAGTGCTCCATGCAGTCTGTGTTCCGGCTGACCCCCCCCCCCCCCCGCCTGGCTGCAGTAGGGAACTACCCCCCCCCCCCAACCCGAGCCACGCTCTCTCAGAGGTGAGATGGGAGCATGTGGGGAGGGAGAACTCAGGGAGGGAGAGAGGAAGGAGCCAGCAAAGGGATGGAGCCACTGACCAGCGGGCCGGCTGCCACCTCCGGCCCACTGCCTACCTACCCACAATGGAAAGGATGACCACCACGAAGTCGAAGATGTTCCAGCTGTTGGTGAAGTAGTAGTGGCGCAGGGCAGCCATCTTGACGATGCACTCGCCCGTGAAGATGGCCACGAAGAGCAGGTTGATCTTGGTCAAGATGTTGACCTTCTCGGGGCTCTGGTCATCTGTCTCCACCATCATGGTCACCATGTTCAAGCAGATGAGGAACATGATGGTGACGTCGAAGGCCTGCTTGGTCACGATGTCGAATATAAAGCCCTGGTACTTGTTCTGAAAAGGAGAGGTGGGACAGGCTCAGCGGAGACCCCAGGTAGGCGCACAAACCCCCCAGAGAGGTCTTCCTGTTCCTGCGTCCTCCTTCTCCCCCCTCTACCCTCTGCAGAGACCCACACTTGCTCCAGGTGGTTTCAGAGAGAGGAGGGAGCCGAGAGCCTTCCCCTTCCCCATTCTCCTCAGAAATGGAGCCTGAACCAGATCTGACTCTCCCCAGAAGCAGGGAGTGAGCCAGGCCTGGCTCTCACAGGATGTGAAGCCCGAATCTGCCCAGGTCTCCCTGGAAGTAGAGCCTGAGTTAGCCTGGCTCTCCCAGGAAGCAGAGTATGAGCCAGGCCCAGGCTCTCTGGAACTGCTCTCTAGGCTCCAGGCCCTCAGGAGGATGATGGAGCGAGGGTCCCTCCCGAGGTCCCCCCCTCCCCTCCCCGGCACCCAGTCGATGGTGCGGGGCTTTTTCCTCTCTCCACTAAGTGAATTTAAATTTCTATCCTAGTGAAATACATCCACTCTCATACAAACACATTTTCCCCCGCTCTTTTTATGAATTGATTGTATTTATTCTACGAGCTAAATTTATAAGTGTCTTTAATTGTAAACCAGCCCACATTCTATTGGGGGAAGAGATAAGATTATAAATAAAAGGAAAACATATACCACACAACCAACATGGAACAGAGCATGGTGAATGGGAAAGAATGGATGAGGTGGATGAATTGGATTAGAGACTCGGGTTGTGCCATCACCTAATTGCCTTGAGTGCTGCTTCCAACCCCTCCCCTCCCCCTCTCTCTCCCTTCCCCTCCCCCCTGCTCTCTCTCTCTGTCTCTCTAACACACACACACACACACACACACATACACACACTCTTTGGCCTAGGAGTCACAACCCTTCTAGCCCCATGTAAGGGGCTCTCGAATGCAATCCCCATTGCTTGGGGGTGGCAAGGATGAGGTTAGAACTGAGGTTGAGGAGGGGCATGTGGGTCCTCCTCACTCTCTCCCGAAGTCTGAGGCCGAGTACAGCCTCAAACAGTGGGCTCCTTCCGTCCTGGACAGGCTGTGTTGAAAGATCATGAAAGGGCCCTGAGAGCTGACCACACCGTGAGGGCTTCTTGGGGCCCCTTGCTGGACCCTCCTGGGTGCAGCTTTGGGGCTCACCAGGGGCCGTGGGATGGGCTTCTGGGGCTTTTTGGAGCCCAGCTTCTTCATGGCGTTGTAATACTTCTTCTGCTCCTCAGTCATGAAGATGTCCTGGCCCCCTAAGTGCAGAGAGACAGGAACCTCACTTGGGGGGGCCCCAGAGCCTACCGTATCGTGGGGCCACACAACCTATGCCCGGGTCAGCATCCTCCTGCTTCCTCTCCCATGTCACCCTGTCTCAGCCCTGTTCTCTAGGAGATTTCCCACCTCGTGACCTCCATGCAAGTCCATATCACGACCCCCATTCCCCTCAACCCAACCAGGACCTCCTGAAAAAACACTGGGAAGACTCTGCTCTCCTGCGCGGGGACCCCAGCTCCCGGGGCTGTCTCAAGTGTCCTAGGCCGGGTATGGGGCCTGGGCGAGGCCTCTTGGCACCTCCCGACCCCAGGGACTCCCCAGAGTGGTCCCGGGCTCTGAGCACAGTTGGGGAGGCCTCTCCCACCCATTCCCTGATACGCTCCGAGGTGTGCTTGGTCACAGACACAGCCCTCTCCCAGCAGGGGGAAGGGGACTATGCCCAGCAGAGAATGCCAAAGGGGGCACCCTCCACCACCACCTCCCCAGGGAGGATTCTAGGCTCTACGTATCTTTTTCTTCTGTTGGTTGAAGTTGTCGATGATGACACCGATGAAAAGGTTCAGGGTGAAGAAGGAGCCAAAGATGATGAAAACGACAAAGTAGATGTACATGTAGAGGTTGTACTCCCACTGCGGCTGCTCCTCGTACTGCGGGGGAGAAATGAGACGACGGGTGATGAGTGAGTAGGAGGAGGACAGGCGTGCTGACTGGGGGTCCTTGGGTGCAGAGGGAGGGCCCTGCCTGGTGGGCGTGAGGGCACAGCAGGCTGGCACAGGCTCATGCTTCTGGAGCCCTGGTGTGATAGAGAGGAACATGTCCAAGAGCCAAGAAGCAGTGTGTGTGGGGTGGAACCACAGCACTACTGTGAGAGGGTGTCTGCCTTGCACATAGTTGACCCATGTTCGATTCCTGCATCATCCCCTGTGGTTCCCAGAGCACCACCAGGAGTCATTCCTGAGTATAAAGCCACGAGTAATCCCTGAGCATCATCGGGTGTAGCAGAAACACCAAAACAAAAAAAAGCACGTGGCTGTCGGCCCTGTGGCAGCTACCCGGCCACCGGCAGCCAGACCTGGAATGCCCAGGGTGTGGCAGCCATGCTCATCGAAGAGATGGGAGGGTCTGGGGATTCCTCAGGAGATGAGGCCAGTCTGGACAGGGTCCAGCTGACACATGAACATTGATCTCGGGCCAGAGTGCTGGTATAACAGGTAAGGCGCTTGTCTTGCATGTAGCCGACCAAGGTTCAATCCCCAGCATCCCATATGGTCCTCTGAGCACCACCAGAAGTAAATTCTGCCTGAACACAGAGCCATGAGTAACCCCTGAGCATTGCTGGATGTGGCCCCAAACATCCTCCCTTCATCCCAAAAGCACCAATTCCCTGATGGTCAGACGCCCAGAGCCCTGGGACCTGACACAGGGTGGGGTTGGGAATGGTAATTGGGGGGCAGGTTGGAGGCGGGGAGTAACTTACCCCTCTGGAGTCCACAGCCGCATACATGATGTCCATCCAGCCTTTGAATGTGGCCTGCAAGGGAGAAACAATGGGAGAGTCATTAGCTCTGAGGCCTGCATCCATGACCTCAGTTCCTAACTGGACAGGTAAGGCCGGGAAGTAGCCTCCCCAGAAGGAAACTCCCCACCCCCCCGGAATCCCCCCTCCATCCTTTTAGTAGTGTTCAGATGGCTGGGCCATTAAGGGAAGGCCTTTTTGTTCAGGGCTAGGACAGGGCTAGAGAAGGCAGCTGGGCAGTTGCCCCATCCCCAGGGCCATGCCATAGAGAGCTAAGCTGTCCCAGCCCAGCCCCGAGGTTGCTGTGGCCAGTAGGAGCACTGCCCATCAGATCCAAGTGCCTCTCAAGGACACATGGACCCATGGAGGAGGGGTGAGACAGAGCTGGCCCGGGGTTCTGGTTCTGGTGCTCATGGGTCATTGGCACTCAGAGAACCAGGAACACTCTGAACAGTCTCCTCCTTCCCTCTTACTAAAGTGTGTGTGTGGGCGGGGAGGGAGAGGGAGGGGAGGGGGGTTGTTCTTTGGCTCCTGGTGCATAGGGAATTGGCTAGGCAATGGCTTTCCAGAGGAAAACAAATCCCCAAGTGCTTTTCCTGCAGATCCATGGGCTGGAGCGACAGTACAGCATGTAGGGTACCTATTTTGCACACAATGGACTGGGGCTCAATACCTGGCACCCCATGTGGTCCCCTGAGCCTGTCACGAGTAAGCCCTGTGCAGAGCCAGGAGTAGCCATCAACACAGCCAGGTGTGGTCCAAAAACAAACTAAGAAAAAAAAAACAACGCAACAATCCTGCCGTGACTTTGTTTTGATCCACAGACGCAGTCTGGGGAGGGGGACGAGGAGAGATTGCACAAGGTTGTGCAATACCCCGCAAGATGCGTCTTTTCTGGCCAACACAGATGTCTGGCCGACGCTTGGGGGGCTGCAGCGAGCATCAGCAGTGACATTGGAATATTCATTTGTTCAGCCCGCACATTATTCCATTATAAGCTCGTAAGAGGTACTTTTCCATAACGGCTGGGTTTGATGTCCAGCGCGCCAATCCGCTCAGGCACTGATACGCGGTTCTTAGCATCCACACCAGCCACCTGCGCTCCCCACAGCAGGCCTGGGGCAGAGGCTGAAGGAAAGAGAGAGCTGATGCCGGCACCCCATCTGCCCTGGTTCAGATGGCCAGCGCTGTGAAAGACTCAGAGAGTGACCAGGAATTAGGCTGGGAGCAGCCTGGGTGTCCCTGCTCTCACCCTGCCCCAGGCCCCTTTCCCAGCACTGTGGCAGATACTTGGGACTTTCCATACCTGGGAGTTCTTGGGAGGCAGGGAGGGCAGGTGGGGAAACTGAGGCTGCTCAGAGAAGGCAAGCCACCTCCATGGCCTGGGCCAGCAGGTTCTTGCTTGCAGAAGAAGGCCTGGACTCTATGATTAGTGTTGTTTTACCTCATCCTAAAACCCAGTAATTTGGATGGTAGCTTTTTATCTCAAAAGAAACATCTCCTAGCAAGCGTTGTCAAGACACAAGGTGAACAGGATCTGTAATTCTAGGAATTTCCTGTTGAGTGAAAGTATGATCAATAATTTAAAACACAATTGTTATCTCTGCCTTTATGAAACTATCCTAGAGAATTTGAATCCTAAGAGAGATGTCTATTTTGTTAGATCTCTCAGTAAACCTGCTTTATCTTTTGTCTATATTAATTTTCCAATTGATTTTATTCAACTATACTCTTAGACTCTTTAAATCATAAATTGTATTTTCCTTTTAACTTTCTATTGATGGGATCAAATTTCTATTTGATCATTGTGTGATTGTAACCCAAACATGAAAGCTTATAACTATCTCACGGTGATTCAATAAAATTAAAAAATAATAATAACTTTCTAAATATATGGAGATTACCCATTTTGATTTCCAATTTTTTTACATTCATGTGTAAAAAATTGTTACAGATCTTATTTCTAATGTTGCTTTCTGACCTATACATGGTCATTGTTTCAGAAATGTCTCATTATGTAAGTGACTGTTACATATCAAATTATAATGGCTTTAAAAAAAAAAGGCCTGGAAATTCTTTCAATGATGCTAGGCTCCCCCAAAGCTGGGAAATCCTACACCTAATTCCCCACCATCCCCTCCCCACTACCATCACTGCAGCCCATTTGGGGCAGCTGGCCCTGCTGTCCACTCGCTGGGTGGTCCTAGGAAAGGGGGCTTTCCCATTCTGGCGGCCTCTCACTATTTCCCATGAGGTTTTGGGAGGCCTCAATCGAGGCGGTGACAGTTGGGACGTAAGGGTGGTTTAGAGTTTTAGCACAAGGAGTAAGGATTGGCCAGGGTTTTAGAGACAGGGGCTGGTGGAGCAAGAGAGAAGTCAGAGAGGGGGGTTCTGTCTGTCTGTCTGCTGCGGTCCCGTGGGGCCAATCTGTGACCGGGGCTGTCCACGCTGCAGCTACTGCCCTAGCAAATCTCCAGGGACTTGGGCAGGACCCAGGAAGCTCTGCATGCTCGAACGTCACACTGCTTGTGCGTCAGAGATGGAGGTAAATGCATTATTTTAAATCGCATTAGAGCTGTCCCAGTGTTTCTGCGGGGAGGGCACTCACAAGTTTGTTAATTATGCAGCTCCTGGGTAGCTGCTTTTCCTTTCTTTTTTTTTTTTTTTTTTTTGGGTCTGAGTCAAGGTTCAGACCCAGATCTTGAGTTCTACCACAGAGCCATGTCCCCAGCGCTGAGTTTTTCATTTCTTTTTTCTTTCTTTCTTTCATTTTTTTTCCTTTTTGGGCCACCCCTGGCAGTGCTGGGCTTACCTCTGGCTCTGCACTCAGGTACCATTCCTGGTGGTGCTCAGGGGACCAATATGGGGTCCCAGGGATGGAACTATGAGTCAGTACACGCAAGACAAGCACCTTACCCATCGTATTCCCATCCCTGTTTTATCATTTCTAGTTGGTGCTGTGTGTCTGGGGAATCAAGACAACTGCTCCAGAACAGAAACCTAGGAGAGTGTGGGGGCCTCCAGGGAGCCAAGCGACCTGGAGAAGCCAGTGTGAGCTGATGTATCAGCTATTCGGGGTCCAGGAGGATGGCCCCGAGGCTGGCGAGGTGCAGGCAGGACCAGGCTTCCAGGACTTACCACCTGCAGGAGGGCCAGGTAGCCGGCTCCCACGTTGTCGAAGTTGACCTTCACCTTGGTCCAGTAGAGCTCTCCTGTCACGTTGAAGGACTCACAGTCGCTCTTGTTGTTCACAAAGGTGTAGTTCAAGGGCAGGTCGCCCAAGGTCTGGTTGATGCACCGCCCAAACTTGCCGGCGAAGAGGTTCACGCCCATGATGCTGAAGATGAGCCAGAAGATGAGGCAGACGAGGAGGACGTTCATGATGGATGGGATGGCGCCCACCAGGGCATTGACCACGACCTTGGGTGGACAAAGTCCAGAGAAGGGGCTTTGTTCCTGGGGGTTCCCAGAGCATTTGCCTTTTTGCCTGAAGCCTGTACCCCATGATTCTCCTGGCCCAGGTGCTTGGGTGGGGAAACGGGTACTGTCCTATGGTCCTGGGTCGAAAGGAAACTTCCAGAAACTTCCAGGCCCTAAGGGAAGGGCAACTCATAACTGGGAACCCTGGTGCGAAATCTGGGGTGAGGTGGGGGAGAATACCTCCTCCTTTCTTTGCACCCTGAAGTTTGCACCCTCTCCCTCCTTGGCCTGGTCCTGAGACTGTGACCTTCAAATTGGTCTCTGCTGGCTGGGGACCTCTGGTGGCTTGTCTCTAGCTGTTGGGGTGGATGGGTGTCCCTGGACTGGATCTTGGGTGGGGGATGTGCTGGGAGCCAGAGAAAGCAGACTGAGTGAGGGGCTTTGCTGCTCTACCTGTTCTCTACCCTAGGGAGTAACTGTCCAGCTCCACAGAGACTTGCTCCCACAGGCTTCATTTATTGGGGGGGGGGGGCTGCCAAGTGGTACCGGGAGCCCAGGGATTCCTCCTGATGATTCTCAGCAAACTGGGTCAGTGGTTCAGTGCGAAGGCTCAAAGCTGCAGTGCTGCTCAGACCCTCAGGAACCCATGGGAGCAAGACTGCACTCAGTGATCCATGTGGGGCTGGGATGGAACCAGGGTTGGGTGCAAGTGACACAGGGTCCACCTAAAGGCCAGCGTCCAGAAGCGAAGCCTGTGCCAGTGTGCTGTGAGCATTTCCGGCTGTTCCTGAGACAGGAGTGTGGGGCTGTGTGGCATGGCCGGAGGGCAGCTAGCATGATGGTGGGGGGGCTAGCACGTGGACATAGTGGGGGGCTCCCTTGATGAACCTGGAAACAGAGTGGGGCCCCAAGTCTCTAGCTCGCCCCAGAGTGACAAGCACGGCTGTGGGGTTTGCCTTCCGTCGTCCTTGCTGCTTTAGAGATCCTGAAGCACAGCTGGATGACTGACATCTGCGTACTTCCCGCTGGGGATAAACAAGTTGTTCCTCCCTGAATCGGGGGTTGGACTGAAGCTCAAAATCTTTAACTCAGTGGGGTTGGGGGGTGGGTGGAAGGAGCGGAAGACAGTGCCTGCTGGGTCAGCGAGGGGAAGAGAGATGCTTCTACAGAAGTCAGGAGAGAACCAAACCCGTCTGATGCAAACAACCAACCAACTAACCAAACTTCAGTGCGCGCGCACACACACACACACACACACACACACACACACACCACCACCACCACCACCACCACCACCACCACCACCACCACCACCACTAAATGAACCTTGTGAGGACTCCAAAACACAAAGAAAAGGTCTGCTTTTTTTTTTTTTTTTTGGCAGCAGGGGGTGGTGGTGGTGGGCACCCAGTGATGCTCAGGGTTTACTCCTGGCTCTGCACCCAGGGATAAACCTTGGTTGGGCTCAGGGGACCATCAGTGGTGCCAGGGATTGAACCTGGGTCAACCACGTGTAAAGCAAATGCTTTGTCCACTGCACTATGTCTCTGGCCCTAAAATCTGCTTTTTTTGTTGTGGATTATGAATGATGAATGATGTTTCCTCAATGACCTTTCACTTTTACTCTTTTGTACCTTTATTATTTACTTCCTCACTTGAGGTGACAGCACTTGGGGTGGGGTGCTGTCTCAGGGATCCAGCCCAGGGGCAGGAGACTACCAGTTTGAGGGACCTTTAGGGACCTTTTAAACTTCCCCAACAGGAACGAGTTCTTTGGAGGATATTAAAAATCGCCTAGTCGAGCCCTGCACATAGAAAACGGCCTCCAGGGTTGTAAGCACCAACAACTTACGGGGGAAGAGGAGCACCAGCCAATCACAGCCAGCACAGATGGTGTGAAGCGGAGATGGGGCCCACAAGTGCCTCCGTGCGGTCCCTCCCCCTTCCTGGGACAGGCGACCACTGCTTACCCGCATGCCCTCAAACCGGGACAGAGCCCGCAGTGGCCGGAGAGCTCGGAGCGTCCGCAGAGACTTGATGGGTCCCATCTCGGCGAAGCCCAGGGTGTTGGCCACCAGGCTGATAAGCGAGACCTGTGGGAGATAAGGCAGCCATGGGGCCTGGGACCCAGTGGCAAGTCCTGGCCAGATCTGCGTATAGCCCTCCTCATTCCTGCCTGGAGGAAGCGGTCATGTAGGGTCCACCTTTGGCTCCTCATGGAGAGCCTGCTGCCCATACTTCACGCACGCCCCCCAGGCTGGGGTCCCTCACCCAAAGGCGAGAACTGAGTTCCCAAGCCCGAGACCCGTCGGGGGCACAGGGATGCAAAGCTGGGACTTCTGCTCCCCAGACATTTGGAGCAGTTGGGCTACACCTAGCGGTGCTCAGGGACTACTCCTGGCTCTGTGCTCAGGAGGGATCTCTGGCCGTACTACGAGAACCAGTCCTGACATTCATGCAGCTGACCTCCTATTCTCTCTCTCTCCCTCCCTCCCTCCCTCTCTCTCTCTCTCTCTCTCCCCGTCTCTCTCTGTCTCTCTGTCTCTCTCTGTCTCTCTCTGTCTCCCTGTCTGTTTCTCTCACTCTTTCTCTGTCTCTGTCTGTCTGTCTGTCTCTCACTCTCTCTCTCTCTGGACCTCCCTTAACATTTGTGCTGCAAGAAAAATTTGGGACCTGTCCCTCTCCTCTCCCCAAATCCGAATTTCTTGAGTAAGAGGAGTGACCTGGGCTGAGTACGAACAGACAGACATGCCCAGGGCCTTTCCCTAAGCCTCATGTTACAGCCTTCAAAGGAGGTGGAGTGGGGGGCAGAGGAAGATTCCCCAGTCTGGGCCAGGACAGACCCAGACTCTGCCCCGCCCCTCCCGTGGCCTGAGGGTTTGATCCCTCAGAAGCTCCCCAACCCGCCTGATCTCAGTGTTGGCTGTGGAGGGCAGGGGTCACAGGCTTCAGTGGGCACCTTGAGGCCCGGCCCGGTGGCCTGACGGTACATGCCCAATGCCTCCCTGAGGCTGGAATTCTCAGGGTGGTGCAGGGGTCTGAGCTGTTTCTGGCGCTGCTGCCACCCACCCCAGCCCCTGTGAAGACACCAGCTCCTGGAGAGGCTCAGGGATGCTCTCGGGGGTCACCTGCTAGTGACAGGGCTCCCGTGTGCTCATGCAGGAACCAGCAAGGCAGGCCTGCCGTCCCCTCCGTCCAGTCTGCACCCCAGTCCCTCCAGCACTGGCCAACAGCAGCCCACCCTCACAGTTGCCCCGTCCGCTGCTGGCTGTGCTCCCCTGCCCCTGATCCAGCTCCCCATACTGCAGAAATCTAGCAGCCCCCACTGCAGGCCTGCTCCCGCTGGGCCCCACCTCCCTCCCTCAGAGCCTTCCAAACCCACAACCCCTTTTCAGAAAGATCCCAGTGCCCTCCCCACCCCCCATTTACCCTCTTTAAGTGAACACACAGGAAGTGCCCCAAGTGCAGCCGAGGCTACGACAATGACGGCACCCCCTGCACCCCTGGATTGTTCCAACCATTGCTCTAGTAGCTGCTCCAGTCGGTTGATGGCCTCCTCCTCCAAGAAGCCCTCTCTGCCTCCCCACTTCATCCTGCCCATGGTTCCCAGAGGGTGCACCTGCTTCTGCCCCTGCAGTAGAACCCTCTGGCCGCCACTCCTCTCCTAGCCACTCTGGCCTCCCGGCTGCTCTTCCAGTGGGCCCAGCTTCCCACTCACACCCCAGGATTTCACCGTGGTCCCCCCACCCCCTGGCCTGTGCTAGCAGGGCTTTCTCAGGCCTGTGTCCGGTTGACCCCAGCTTTCTCAGACCAGCTCCAACGTCACCTCCTGGGTACACCATGACCAGACTACTGTGTTTTGTTTGTTTGTTTTTAGAGTGAGGCTGGTGGTACTGGGCACCCCCACAGTGCAATGCTGCTCAGGTGCAGTGGTGTTGGGGGCCACCAGGGTCATTCCTGATGAGCTGGGGTGGGTCATGGGGTGTGGGGGATGGAGCCCAGAGCCCTGTGCATGCCAGGGGGCCCCTGGAGACCAGCACCTGCCACCCACAGTGCTGCCCTCTCCTCCCCACACCCTCCTCACTTCCCCTTTCTCCTGGCACCATGGGAAGCTGTCCGAACCCTTCCATTTCCGGCCTGCCTCACCGTCTGCCCTGCACACGGGGCTTTTGTTTCTGGCCTGCTGAGACCTCCAGCACGGAGAGCAGTGTTTGTGCAGAGGTGTTTGCTCCTATTCTATAGGGGAGGAAGCATGAACCGACACCAACCTCCCTCTCCTCCAGATCCCGACCGAGGCCGGGAGCCCGTATGTCCATGGAGGCCTGGCATAGGGAGCCCGTATGTCCGCGGGAGCTGGGTTCCTTCCGCCCTGAGTCTTGCTTGGGCTGCTGCTCTGGTCAGTTCTGGACTAGTTCAGGGCTGGGAGGCCCCTCTGTTCCCTCAGTTCTGAGTTCCCTGAGTTGCAGGTATGATGGGGGGCTTGGGGGCTCCTCCCAGAAGCACAGAAGTCTTTCTGGAGCTCCCTCCGGCTTAGAGCTGGACGGCTGCAGGGAGAGGGGCCTCAGTCCCCCTCAACCCCCCACCCCCAGCTCTCTACGAGCCCTCTCCTGCTTCTCGGGAGACCCCAAGCTCTCTGGACTGAAAGGACAGGGAGGCTCTGCCCATGACCTTCGCTGGACAGGTATCTGCTCAGCCTCTTGAGGGGACTGGGAAGGGTGGGGTCTGGCGTGTCTGTGCCTCCCTGCCTGGCCCCCAGGGGTCATTGCCCCCTAGTCTGTTCAGGTCCCCCAAGAGTGAGGGGATGAGGGGCCTAAGTATGGGCCGGGCTCCTCTGTGACCACGGGGAGCACAGTACCTGCCAGTGCTGGGGCCCCTCTGCAGGGACCCCACCCTGACCGTGCTCCATGCTCTGCTCTGTTCTCTGGGACCAACCACCACTTTCATATGCTCCCACTGTCCTCAGCAGCTGCAACACCATCCCCTCCCACCCCACCCCACCCCACCCCACCCACCGACTCTCACTGCTCCGCTCAGGACCCTCCTGAGACCGGCACACATCTTGCTCAGTGCCCGGTGATATCCTGGGACTGGGCAGCCTTGGGACAGAAGCTTCCCAGGCCAGCTGCCAGCTGGGTGCTCAGGGGACCTGCGAACTTCCTGCCCCAGCCTCCCTGGACACGCCAAGGGCAGGCAGACCCAGGAGCCACCGGAACCGTCGGCCAGCGACTGTGGTTTCCTCCCTTCTTGCGGGTGACCTCACCCCGTCCTCCCCAGGGAGCAGCCAGCACCCCACCCCAGCCTGTTGCTGGGAACTGTGTCTGCCTCTGCCTCCTGTGGGGTCCTGCAGGGACTGTGGCCTGTGTGGTTGGGGGCACAGGCAGCCCTGGGTACACAGTGCAGGCAGGTCTGTGCCCACTTCTGGCCTCCTGAGTTGGGCCGTCCACTCTGGCCCTGACTCACATCCCTGTCCCTGCTGCTCTTCATGACCCGCTTGGTGAATTCAGTGGTGCCCAGGAATTGATACATGCATGGCTGAGGACAGGGTTTGGGTTTCTCTCTGCTTCTTTGTCCCCCTACATGGGGGGGTGGCTCTAATGGGTGGGCTCATGTGCCCTTCCTCACAAATGGGTGTTGCCTGGGTTCCACCTTGGCCGGCCCCCACACTCCAGCTTGCTAACCGCCGTCCTCCTGTGCTCCCATCCCTCCACCCCCCTCCCCTCGCCCCGACTCAGGTCCCACACTCACGTCCACAATGAGGAAGTCCAGCCAGCACCAGGCGTTGGTGAAGTACTTCTTGAAGCCGTATGCCACCCACTTGAGCAACATCTCCAGCACGAAGATGTAGGTGAACATCTTGTCGGCGTACTCTAGCAGGACCTTGATGGTCTTCCGCTCATCCAGGTAGATGTCCTCAAAGGCCTGCAGAGAGGTGGATGAGGGTGGCCAGGTGGTCCTGCTCCCAGAGGCCAGCAGCTTCCTCTCTAAGGGTCATGCTAACTGCCTAGGGTGTCGGGAAGGGGACCCCACCCACCTGAGCTGGCCCGATGAGGATGGTCTTCAAAGAGTGCATGGAGCCCCTAGGTGGGGGCTCAAAATGCGCTGGCAAGGCACGTGGTCAGGGAGGCAGAATGGCTGCTGGGAATGGGTCTCCCTTCCTGGGCGTCAGTCAGTGCCTGTTCTGAGCCCTTCTAGGACCTTCCATCCTACTTCAACTAGAGATTGCTGAGCAGGCTTGGCAAACAACACAAAACCTTTTCTTGGTTTTCATTCTATTGATTCTGAAAAAAAAATCTAATTAAAAAGGTTGGTGTGTGTGTGTGTGTGTGTGTGTGTGATGCTGGGATTCGAACCAATGGCCACACACACACACACACACACACACACACACACGGGATGCACTCTACCATTCAGCCTCTATTTATTTTAGACAGCCGCCTACTTCTCGGATTGCTTTCCTGTTATACTTGTAAAGGAAAGTTTTGCTTTAATTCCAACCACATAACAAGTTCATACATAACCATGCTGATGCTAGTGTGAACCGCCAGTGGCTAACCCCCGAATGGGGTGTCACTGAGGCAAGATTCAGGAAGCACAGAATGAGATCAAGTCAAACCTCTCGAAACCCCACTAAACTGATGAGTTCAAGTTCTGAAAGTGTTGGGCAGCAGCTCACAGTCCTCCTCCAGCTCCTCTTTCTGGCCTCTGACCCGCTTCCTGAGCCAGCAAAGGGGCTGGAGCTCTCAGCTGCCCTGCTCCTCCTCCTCCTCCTCTTCTTCCTCCTCCTCCTCCTCTTCCTCCTCTCCCCCCCCCCCTCCTCCTCATGCTGCCTTTGGACCTGTTCCTGCTCCTCCCCAGCTCCTGGCCGTGCCCTGAAGATGCTCTGAGACTCCCAGACTAGGCAACTGAGCACGTCACTGAGGGCACCTCGGGCCCAGGGGACTGCCTCCTCAGCCGCTCTGGGCCTCCCCTCTGCTCACTGGGCCCCTGGCAGCTGCAGCGATGCTCTGTGCCAGGGGGGCTGCCGGCAGGAACTGTGGCACCTGACAAAGGAGGCCATGGGAAGACCCCAGCCCCAGCTCTTTGGGAGGAAAAAGAAGGCATGTTTTTCTCTAGTTACCAAAATATCTGCTTATAAATCTAAAGGTTAAACCTTACAGAAAAGGTAGATAAAGCCGCACTGAATTCACAGCACTAAAGTATCCACGGTCACCCCTCAGGAGAACATCCCCAACGCTGCTGGTATGTGTAGGTGTGCACTAAACACTCGACTGTAGATGCGTTTTTTTCCACTCAATAATCTCATGCGAACATCTATCACTTAAATCATGTGCATGTCACCCTTTCTTATTTTCTTTATATCCTAAGTCATTTATATCACAAAAAGGCTGACAAACGTTGCAGCCCTTGCATCCGCTGCTGTCTATCCCACCAACGCTCTGAACATTCCTTTTGTGTCCAATTTGTCCCCGGGAGAAGGAGCACTGGCCGAAGTAGGCAATACGCCTGATGACTAGAGGACAAATTTCAGAGATTGGAGGACCTGGTCAGACGTGTCCCCGTGGCACCGACTGGGAACATGTCCTCCAGAAGGGAGGGACACAGTGAGTACTCCCTCCACCGGGCCAGAAGGGGCTCCTTCTCCTTGTCACTGTGCCCAGTCTCATTCTCAGAGACTGTCCTGGGTGAAAAATCCATTTATTCCTCACTTGGGTTCCTGGAATGTTTTTGTGTCCCCTGGAGAATGGCCTCTTCCTCTTCTTTGCTTTTGTTCCCTACCTGAGTGTGTGGTTTCGTGGGGGACATTGACTGTTTGACATACGTTATTCTAGTTGAGTATCTTTAAATCTTGTTTACTTACACAGGTTTTACACTACATCTTCATTTATTTTTTTTTCTTGTTTTTGGGCTACACACATGGATACTCCATATACTCGAGATTTTTGACCCATCTCCCCAGCATCCTCATTTATTCTGGTATTTAATAATTTCATCTGGTTTGACTTTCATTTATGGTTTTTGGCTCACACCCGGCGATACACAGGGGTTCCTCCTGGCTCATGCACTCAGGAATTACTCCTGGTGGTGCTCAAAGGACCATATGGGATGCTGGGAATCGAACCTGGGTTGGCCGTATGCAAGGCAAATGTCCTACCCGCTGTGCTATTGCTCCAGCCCTCTGATTTTCATTTAATAAAAGCATTTCATTTAATAAAAAGCCTTACAAGCCAGAACAGTAATATAGCAGGAAGGGCATTTGCCGTGCACATGGCCAACCTCGGTTTGATTTTCCCAGTAGCCAGGAGTAACCCCTAAGCATCTCCAGGTGTGGCCCGAATACTCCCCATTTCCGCTCTCCTCTCCCCTTCAAATAGGCTTTGCCTATTCCAAGTTAGGGGAAAAAATCTTTTCTTTCTTTAAAAACAAAATGTATGGGATCGGAATGTGACTCAGTAGTAGAATGCATATCTCACATATGTGAGTGCCTGGAATCAATCCTTGGCAGCACAAAATGATTCGTGGTTTTACCGTTTAATATTACAGCTTCAAAAACTTAACAGCATTGCTAAAGAACAAATTACGCATCTTAATGCTTATTTCAGAGTGGCTTATCAACTGTCCAAATACTTCAGTGAATAATCTACTTAGGGGTTGGGAGATAGCTCAGAGGGCTGGAATGCAGGCTGTGCAGGCAGTAGTGCTGGGCTTGAATCCCAGCCCAGGTTCTCAGAACCCTGTATGGTTCTCTGGAAGGACAGAGGACCAAGGAACCACAGGAGTGTTCTTTGGAGGAGGCCCTGTAGTGCCACCCAAGAAATTTCCACTTCAAATCCATGAACTAGAAACCAATTATATCAAACATTTCTATATACGCTTAAATTAGTTTCAGACCTTTCTTGTGGTTTGACCACTTTGTCTATTCCTGAATTAGTGATGGATGTATTTTCTTGGCAATTTAAAAGTAATTAAAAAAAAAACAGATCCAGTCCCCTAAAAATGTTGTAAATTTTTTGTTACTTATTTTATTAACTTTTAGAAATTAATACTCTTCTCACCTAAGAGCAGAGTACACTCATAGTATCTTCATCTATTTGTCTTACACTCCTTAGCAAGGTTTTATACTTTTCTTCATGTATCTTTTATACAGTTCATATTATATTTATTCTCAGTTATTTTGTGCTGAATGACTGACATAGTCTGCAATTAGGAATATGAAAAAATAATAATTGGGGTTAAATAGAATTAATATGAAAAGAATAGTAAGAGCAGCAATTTTTTGTGTATTTATTTTATATAAGTAACCATGGAACATTCAAAATAAGATTTAAATTTCCTAGATAATCATTATCTATAAAGAATGATATATGTCTATTTATATGTTTTAAACTCATTTTATTTCAGACTATACTAAAGTTCTACTTTCTAGTTTTTTTGTTTGTTTGTGTTTGGTTCATATCCAGAAATGCTTAGAATTTACTCCTAGCTCTGCATTCAGGGATCATTCCTGTTGGTTTCAGGGAACTACTTGTGGTGCCAGGGATTGAACCCCAGTTGGCTATGTACAAGGCAAGTGCCCTACTATTGCTTTGGCCCCAATTTTCAAAGTTTTATATTGTATTTTTCTCTTGATTGCTCTGGCTGGTACACTTCAAGACTATTATTAAATAATAAACAAAAGCTAAAAAGTAATTGAATCATTTACAATCTACTATCAGAAGAATAAGAATCATCCTTTTTTTGTTCTTGACTTTAATAAAAATGTTTCAGGTACCTGTCAATGGCAATAGAAAAAGTTAATTTGAGAGTAGGTTTTTTTTCATCAAACCAAGGAAATTATGATTATTTCTGGTCTTATCAGAGTATTGAAATTAGCCTACAGTGAATAAACTGTATGTTTTTGTCAGCCTTGTTCTATTTATGTAAAAAGTTCCAAATATGACGCCATTCTGACATTTTTACATTTACCTAACTATGACATTTAATTTTCTTTCTTGTTTTTACTGAATCACCATGAGATAGTTATAAGATTGAATTTCAAGACTGAGTTTCAGTCATAAAATGATGGAACACCATTCCTCCACCAGTGTACATTTTCCACCACCCATGTCCCTAGTATCTTTCCCGCCATGACATTTAATTTTTTTAAATGTTTTGCTGGATCCTTCTCACATGGATTTTAAGATTTTACATTTACTATTCACAAAAAAGAAGTATGAAAACTGGCCTACGGTTTTCCTTTTAGTATGGAGGGTTTTAAAGAATTATCAGTTTTACTATTTATTTCTTCATTCATCGTTTTTAATTTACTTGAATAAAATAATATTTATTTCCCCTTCATCGCCTTCCCCCAACTCCATCTCAAATGACCTTTGTCCTCCCCTGGCCTTTTACATTTTGTCTGTTCATCAATGTTATGTATCCTTAGATTACACACACAGAAGGTGCAATCATCTAATATAGTTGCTCTTCCTTTTTGTTTTGTTTTTGTTTTTTTTTTTGTTTTGTTTTTGGTTTTTGGTTTTTGAGCCACACCAGGATGTACTCAGAGCTAACCCCTGGCTCTGTGCTCTGCGATCACTCCTGGTGGGGCTTGGGAGAATCATATGTAGTGCCAGGGATCGAACCTCAATAGACTGCATGCAAGGCGTACACTCTACCTGCTGAACCATCGCTCCGGTCCCTTGTTCTTCCTTCTGACTAATTCTGTTTTACGTATTTCCCTTGAGTGTTCTTATCTAATTAATAAATTAATTTTGGAGGTGATGGGGTCATACCGAGTGGTGCTCAGGAGCTCGTCCTGGCTCTGTGCTCAGGGGACCATACTTGGTGCTGGTGATCACTCAGGGGTGGGCTGCATGCATGTACTGTCTCTCCAGCCCTCTTCTTTATTAACCACTTGAGGTTATGTCACTTGTAATTTG